GCATCAAGACGAGACTCCAAGGCATAAGATAATGTCTAGGTTTCACTACCGAATAGTAAAACTGGCTTTATCAGGACCTGGAAGATGTGTAACTGGGTCCTTCTGCACAGGCACTGGTACCTCCAAATACTCTTGTCGAGAGAGTTCATGACCCCTGCTGCCAGGCCAATCCGTCTGCTGACTTCCTGGTCTGACAGCCTAGCCAAGATATGTAAAGCTCTCTGTGACTTCAATGTCCTCGCCGCAAGCATGTACCGACCGAACAGGTTCTCCTGGCAAGTCCCCAAAGTCCTGGGCCCGGATTCACTAACGCACTTAAAATGGTAAAATCACTGGTAACTATAGCTACCATGATAACCAGACAGCGGTGGTATTCAGTAAAAACTTGCCATCAAGTTACCATGGTAAATTTTACCAGTGGTCAGAGCATTGGTAACTTCTGGGAAGACGGTCATCTTGTGTTATCTCGTCAAAAAATCAATATCTAAGCAAAGTTTTAAGTTTGTTTTTACACCTGATGTAACTAATATGATGGCAAACACATATCGCAATACGGAAATAGTAAAGAAATGTAAATTTCACATGCAACTAGCAAGAATAAAATCCACACAAATTCTCGTAAAATTATAGGCCTATATTATACTAGAATGCATGGAATCGATGGATAAGTGAACTCTTATAGAAATCTTCTCTGACACAATTATTACAAATGATATAGAAAAACTACCTTGCTGATTTTTAAACTGGCAATACCATCGCTAAATGAGTATAGCAATTTCTGTGTCTGTCAGCATTTTGATAATAAACTCCAAAGTGCATAAGCTTGAAAATACTTCCTTTGACGACAGATAGCGATTACTAAAAATTTTGGTCCGGTTCTTTGTTTAACAATGATGAAAAATAAATAAATGAATAAACTGTTTGGACTAATATTAATAATAATATAATAATAACATTTATTAATAATATATCAATAAAAGTGTTTGTATTGGTTCCTATCTACACAATAAATATCCCACATGATGGATATGATCAAATAAATATATTCATTTTTTTCTACATGTGCTTAAATAGTGTTTTAGCTGTGAAGATTAAAAAAAAAAAAAAAAAAAAAAAAAAAAAAAAAAAAAAAAAAAAAAAAAAAAAAAAAAATCGCTGTATGTAGTTTTACTTACATGTTACGTGATTGGCCGAAGGAACCTAAAAGATTATGTATAGCGCTCGCTGATTGGTGGAATTGCTTTACTAGAGCCCTCTGTTGGCTACCATTAGAATGAGTCGATTTATGATTGTAACTAAGCATATCCAAATTACCATTTCTTTGTGAATACCACTTTGCCATCACTGGTAAATGCAATGGTAAATGTCCGCTGGTAAATGCGTTACGATCGTATGATAGTGAATCCGGCCCCTGGATCTTGGTCTTTGTCCAGGAAACCTCTAGACCCAAGGGCTTCACTTCATTACTAAATTCATCCAGAGCTACCACTAAGGTTTCCATAGACAGCAACATCATCAGCAAAGTCAAGGTTAGTAACCTTGATATTGTCCCGAGTTGCTCCACAATGACTTTCAACAGTAGCTCTGCCCAGTATCCATTCCATGCAAGTGTTGAAAAGTGTTGGTGCAAGGACACAGCCTTGCCTTACTCCTGAACTAACAGGAAAGAAGCTCGACAGTCCCCCCTCCCACACACACTTTACAGCACTTTCAGTACCAGTAAATAGGCTTGCTATTAGTTCAATAATCCTTGTTGGAATTCCTCTCAGTCTCAGGATCACCCAGAGTGATTCTCGATGCACTGTATCAAACACCTTCTTGAGGTCGATGTAGGTTGCCCGAACTCATGACGACGTTCTAGAATGACTCGATACAGTCTATTGTAGACACCAGGAGTGAATCCAGTTTGCTCCGGCCTCTGGTGCCTCAGTAAAATGTCTTTAATAAGTCATGGAAAGATGTGAGCGAGAACCTTGCCTGGTATACTGAGCAGTGAGTTGCCTCGGTGATTTCTGCTGTCCTAACGGTCCCCCTTCCCTTTTCAGAGAGAGATGTCCACACACCTCAACAGGTCAGGAAGAACGGTACCGGACCGCCAGATAGCAGCCAGGACAGCATGTAACCCCTGCGCCATAGGATCACCACAAGCCTTTAACAGTTCAGCTGGTATGCTGCAGATACCCGCTACTTTACCGCTCTTCAGCTTCGAGATCGACCCCCTAACTTCAGTAAGGGAGGGTGGATCCTGACTGATGGGTGGGTCTGGCGTTGGAATCTCGGCACTTCCTGCATCCAAGTTAACTGTTGGTGGATCAACCTGGTACAATTACTCAAAATACTCAGCCCAACGTTCCCGCACTGCAACAGGATCTGAGACGATCTGGCCACCTACTAAGCAAACTGCTGTCACCTGTGAAGAGGGCCTGGAGTTCAGCCTTCTTAAGGCTTGGTATGTAGGACTAAGAAATGGCCTTCGACCTCCTCTACAAGACTTCTAATAAACTGTTCTTTGTCCTTCTTAACAACGACCGAGTTCTACGCACCTGAGATTGGTACAAATCCCGATCCCCTGCCAGACGAGCTAGACGACAAGCATCTGTGGCATCCATTGTCTCCTATTAGACAAAATTCTGGCTTGTTCTCGGGCGGTCACTAATTGATTCTTGAGCTGCATCAAGTGTTTCATGCTTGAAGGTATCCCACAGCAGTACAGGGTCCGTCGAACACTGAAATGTCCAGAGATTGCCTCAGCAAACCCACAGGCACACTCCCCCTCCCTCAGCCTGTCCAAATAAAACACCTAGGGTGCTCATTGGATTGCCAGGTAGTTTTGAAGTGGACCTGAAGAGTAGCCACAACCAATCTATGGTCGATACCACAGAACTCGGCACTCCTATACAACCTGCAGTTCTGGCGGATCCTCCAACAAGTACTAACGAGTATGTGGTCGATCTCCTTGGCTGCATTACCTGCATCGCTATACCATGTCCAGCGATGTGGGTCTGAACCAGAAATCCTAAATTTCTGGGACCTTGCAAAGTCCCGGAAAAGGAGACTATTCACGCTGTTAGCATCAGCTCCAAAACCATGGGGACCGATAGCCAGCTCGATCACAGCCAGATACCGCATTGAAGTGACCCAGAACAATGCGAATATCCCGCCGAGGACAACTGTCTGCCACAGATGCGTTTGGTGTAGAACATCTCTTTCACGCCGAGTTTACAAACAACGGTAGGAGCGTACATAGCAATAACAGACATGAAGCCAAATGCTAGCTTCAGTCTCAATACCATTATACGCTCATCGACTGGAGTAACCTCAACTACCGAGAGCTGAAGTCTGCTGGAGATGACTATGGCTATTCTCTGGAGATGGTAACTGTCGCTGTGGCTCGACCAGTTATAGGTGTATTCACCTACACTGATTGTGCCACTGCCAGGTCTTCTCACCGAGACAGCAGAGGCAACCTATCATCCTGACACAAAGAATGGATATTCCAAACTCCCACCCTGACTTCCTGCCTGAGGTTAACCCTCTGGCAGTCACTCCGAGTGGACGCCACCTCTGCCGACGCTGCCTCATATAAAAGGGGGTGGTGGGCTGCGGGACCCATTATCCACCTGTGGGGTTCCCTTGGGCTTTCCCTCACAAGCATAACTCCGGGCTAGCGGCTGCTAGGACGCAGGCAGGATGAGTAGTTCCCATTCCCATCCTGCGTCCCAGCAGTTGCTCTCCCAATGGGGCCTGCAGCCCGCCTCACTTGCTGGGTGGGAGGGGTGTTTCCCCTCCTCCCAGCATCTCTCTCTCTCTCTTTCTCTCTCCAGTCTCCACTCTCTCCCCACTCCCTCTTCACTTTCTCTCTCCTCTTTCCAATCTTTGTCTCACTTCACTCCCAATTTACTCTCTAATTTCCACCCTCCACTCTTTTCCCTCTCTCATCAATATCTTTCTCATGCCTACAATTCATTTCTCTCTCCAATATTTTCTCACTCTTTTACACTATATTCTCTTTTTTTACCCCCTCTCTCTGTACTGCCTCCAGTAAAACACTAGCAGTCAGTTAAACCTTTATTGTCATGTTCACAAGCTGGTAGGTATGAGCAGTGTATCCAACTTGCAAGATGACAACATACACGTACGCGTGAACGTGCACGTGATTGTGAGGTGAAAAGCTGTAAGAAAATAAATCTTCACAGTTTTGGGAATAAAAAGTTGTACACAAATAAAGTAAATGAATCATACAAATATCAAATAATATTAATACAATATGAGATAGAAAAATTAAGAACAAATCAATAGAAAATTATAAAAATACTGCAAGACTACATATATATAAACATTAAACAACAAATAACTTCTTATTCCTTATACTATCTTATGACATTTCCTGAGTTATTAAGGCACTTTATAAAAGATCAATAATTAAAGACTAGATACTTTCATTAAATGAATAGGAAACAAAACATTATTCTTTGGTAAATAACTGAAATAAAGCTTGGTAAAAATATAAGAGTACAATAGGAATGGGACTACTTATATCACATAATTTCAAGTTATATATCACATAAAAGACACAACTTTGTTAACATATGCTCTAACATCTGAACAATACATTAACAGTATAAATAGTTGACTTACAGTGTGGCTGGCCCAAATCTTTATAAAACAAGAATAATTTAAAAGTACGCAGCACAAGACGTCTCACGTGGCTCTCTAGAGGGGCTCCGCGGATTCACAACAATGCGTTTTTGTAGGGCGTTCGTACAACTCTAACGTCACTGTAGCCAACATTACAAACTAAATGAAATTAAATAATCATTCTCATGTTAATACATTAAATCAAATAAATTCTTGATCTAAATTCTATATATATAATATCAGACAAGGAATCCTTGATTCCTTTACACTCCCTGCCTGATATCAACAAATTTGATATCACTACTCTAATACTGATTAAATGACAAATAGGAACTGAAATGTGACTTGTTCAAATAAAATAGCTACTTAGCACCAGAAACCAAAAGAATTAACTCTGAAATTGGTCTTGTGTACACAACTGGCTTTCCATCTCTCATAACCTTTAACTCCACTTTCCTTACTTTGCCATCTTCACTTTGGATAGCTCTTACAACAATTCCATATGGCCATTGTGTACGACAAACACTTCTGTCTTTCAATAACACATCACCTTCAGTGAGATTAGGTTTTGCACAACACCATTTTCTACGTTCTTGGAGTGTGTGCAGATATTCTTTTTTCCAACGATTCCAAAATATTTCTGAGAGGGCAGAAACACATTTCCATTCTGTTTTCAAAAGGTCTTTTGTATCAATTTCTCCTACTGAATCTTCTACATGGTCTATTCCAACTTTCTGAGTAAGAATGGTGGCAGGTGACAAGATGAAAGGGTTTTCTGGATCACTTGATACGTTTATTATTGGTCGATTGTTCACTATGGCACATACTTCTGCCATGAAGGTTGATAACACTTCATGCGTCAAAGTTTTATAAGGAGTTTCAGCTAGCATTGACTCTAAGATCTTCCGGCAGATTCGAATGAGGCGTTCCCATACACCTCCCATGTGCGATGAATGGGGAGCGTTGAAGATCCATTTAGTGCCTGTTTGGTACAGATGGTCTACTATCTTCTTTTCTTCCACATTTACTGCATCTATCTTGAGGCTATCAGTTGCACCAACAAAGTTGGTTCCTCGGTCAGATCTATACAGTTTAACTTTACCTCTGAGAGCTTCAAATCTTTTAAGTGCATTAATAAAAGCTGAAGAGGACATTTCTTCTACCAACTCAATGTGTATTGCTCTTGTTGTAAGACAAGTGAACAAAATAGCCCACCGTTTAGAATTTGCTGATCCACCACGAGTTCTGCGTGTCGTTATAGTCCAAGGTCCAAAAGCATCAACTCCAACATTGGTAAAGGGTGGAGTATGTTCTAAGCGATCTGCTGGTAGATCACTCATCAACTGGACTTCTTCTTTACCTCGTAACTTTCTACACTGGACACAGGAGTGTAAGATTGATGAGATCAACCGTTTCACGCCTGTAATCCAATATCCACCAGATCTAACAGCTCCTTCTGTAAGATGACGTCCTTGGTGTCGAACACTTTGGTGATAGTGACGTACTATAAGTGTAGAAATATGACTTTTACCAGGCAAAATGATTGGATGTTTCTGGTAACTTCCAAGACTTGATTGTTGCAATCTTCCACCAACCCTTAACACACCATCTTCATCTAAGTACGGGTTGAGAGCCATAATCGAGCTAGATTTTGGAAGATGCATTTTTGCTTCAAGAAGTCTAATTTCTTCTTTGTAAGTTTCCTTTTGAACTGCTTTGATCACAAATATTTCAGCTTTTCTGAAAGACTCTACACTTCTATCAGCTCTACCTTTAAATGATTTGGCACATGCACATCTCTGCAATAAAGCAACAGTATTTACTAGGCGATACCACTCAGAGAACCTTTCAAATCTGTGACCCAATTGATAAATTGTCAATCACACAGGTTTTAGCTGCCTTTACCAGAGCATCTGGCCTTACTTCCTTATCATATTCTGGTTGAACTAGCTGTGGAGTTTCTTGAGCAAGATCATGACGCCTACTCAAGAATGTTTGAGGTCCTTTCAGCCATATGTCGTCACACGAGAAATCATTCACCATAGAGCGAGTTGCTCGATCAGCTGGATTCACAGAAGTAGGAACATAATTCCATTGTTCTGGCTTAGTTGACCTGTGAATACGGTTCACTCTATTCTCAACATATACATAAAATCGTCTTGTTTGGTTGTGGATGTAGCCAAGAACTACTTTACTGTCAGTGTAAAATTTCACTATATCAATTTCTTCATCAAGGTTCTCAAGTACCACTTCACTAAGTTCTACTGCAAGTACTGCAGCACACAATTCTAGACGAGGTATAGTATGCCCATGCAAGGGTGCAATTTTAGCTTTCCCCATCACAAATCCAATTTCTGAACTGCCATCTTCGTGTACAGTTTTCAAATATGAGACAGCAGCAATTGACTCTTTGGAAGCATCTGAAAAGACATGCAATTCTTTTTTGACTTCTGTTGACAAGGATACTGGAACATACATTCTTGGTATTTTCAAACATTGTAAGGTCTTAATACAGTCTTTCCAAACTTTCCATTCCCTCATCCAGTTTTCTGGTAGAGGTTCATCCCAATCAATAGTCCCAGATAAGAACTTTCGCAGAAGCAACTTGCCTAGAACTGTAAGCGGGGCTGCAAATCCTAGAGGATCATAAATGCTGTTGACTGTTGACAGCACACCTCTACAAGTGAAGGGTTTATCTTCTTCTGCAATCCTATAAGTAAAGATATCTGCTTGAAGATCCCAATATAATCCTAAACTTCTCTGCAACGGAAGATGTTCAGCATCAAAGTCCATGTCCTTCAAATCTTGAGAGATATCGTCACCTGGCAAGGCTGACATGACTTCTTGGCTGTTTGAAACAAATTTGTGAAGTCTCAAATTTCCATAATCTGCTAGACCCTTCTGAGTTTTGTCAGTAGGTTAATAGCTTCTTCAGTACTTGATAGAGATATCAGACCATCATCAACATAAAAATGTCGCTGGACAAATTTTGTGACGTCTTCACCATATGTACTTCCTGCAGCTTCAGCAGTCTTCTGTAGTCCATATATTGCTACTGCGGGTGATGGACTATTTCAAAAACATGTCTGGTCATACGATATTCAATAAGTTCTTTACTTAAATCATTGTCTTTGTGCCACAAAAAACGAAGATAGTTTCTGTGTTCTTTATGTACTTCAAATGAATAAAACATCATCTCAATATCTGCTAATACAGCCACTCTGTTCTTTCGAAAACGTAGAAGTACACATCATTCAATGATGTACCTCTAAACTTAGCAGCAGAGTCAAAAACACACCTGATACGACTAGGTTTCTTTGGATGATACACTCCAAACACTGGAAGATACCAACATTCTTCATTTTCTTTCAAAGGTGGTGCTATTTCAGCATGACCTCTTTCCAAAAGCTTTTTCAAAGTCTAGGAAATGTTCTCTTTTAACAGAATTGAACTGAAGACTCTTGGCTAGGCTATTGGCACGTCTCACAGCCATGGATTTATTGTTCGGTAATCTTTTCTTTAAGGGCTTAAAAGGTAAAGGTGCACTCCAGTTACCTGCTGGTTCTTTGACAAATTCTTTCTCCATTAACTTCAAGAACATTTTGTCTTCTGTGGATTTTCCAGGTTCGTCATCATTTTTGGTTCGGTGAAACACTGTAGAACCAATATCATTTTCCTTCCATGGTGTAAAACCGCTGTGATATCCTGTGTCTTCTTGTACACATATACAACTTGGACAAGGCTTCAAGACTGATGGTCGACCATCAGGATTTACATATATTTTCCTTACATTCACATTCTTTGTTGCGTGATGCTTCCCCAGGCAGACTTCACCTACAATTACCCAGCCTAACTTCATCTTCTGGGCAAAAGGGTGTACCTGGTGGACCTGTTACTTGATCTAGTACATGGTGAGCTTCGGGTAGATCTCTACCAATCAATAATTGAATCTGAGCCTGATCATCAAGAGGTGAAATTTCTGACCAATGTCTTTGAGGTGTGGATGAAGTCGAGCAATGTTGGGAGTTGGAATCTCAGTCCTATTATTAGGAAGTTCATCACATTCGATGACTGTAGGAAGGCTCATCTGTAGACTACCATCAACAGCTTGTATGCATAGTCCACCAGCTTTCCTTCCTGTCATAACTGAACGGCCAGAGCAACTAGTTATGATGTATTCCTCTGCCACAGAGCGAACATCAAAGAAATCTAAAAGCTCTCCTTTAGCTAAAGATTTGTTACTCTGATCATCTAATATAACATATGACTTCATACGCTTCCTCGGGTTACTCTCATGAAAAACGTAAACTGGCAAAATTTTAGCACAAGACTTTCCAGGAAATTCCTCACATACACCAGTACTCTTGTTGGTCACATTTAAAGCTTGTTCACGTACTGACTCTTTAACAACACTCTGCTCCGGCTTCTCCTGCCATGAGCCTTAGTACTTGTCTCAGGAACAGACTGAAATTTCTTCAAATGCATAGCAGTGCAATGGTATTTACTTCCACAGTCTTTACAGGTTATGTCCTCTGGACAATCTCTACTTAAGTGGTTCTTCGAGATGCAACACTTAAAACATATTCTATTTTCTTTCAGAAGTTTCTTGCGTTCTTCTAAAGACTTTGACTTAAAGCTTTTACATTCATGTAGAGAATGGTTGGTCCCATGTATTATACATTTAAGGGCTTCTTCATCAGGCACTACAGTCTTCTTTGTAGTTACTTTAAATTTATCTAGCTTTGAAGTCTTGTCTATATGAGATTTTACTTCTGGCTCAAAATTAAATCCTGGATCATTATGGATTTGTGCAACGTCAGAAATGAAGTCTACAAAATAAGAAAAGGGTGGGAATAACACACCTTGTGTTTTCTTGTAGTTGGATGCTTTGTCTCGCCATTTTCCTTGTACTGAAGGAGGTAACTTGCTTATCACAGGGTTTATTCCTGCAGATGTGTCAAAGTGTCCAAACAGTTTCTCGTAAAGTGGATTTTCTTTAAGCGACTGTACTTCGCAGAGAAGATCATGCAGATCATACAGTTTCTTGGGATCTCTGAACGTAACCTTAGGAAACTTTTCTAGTTTTTCTTGATAGATGCTTCAATAATCTCAGGACTGCCATATCTATCTTCAAGCCTCTTCCATATCAACTTGATGCACTTACTTGGATCATGTATATTGGAAGTCCTATACTCTGCGCAAATTTGGACGACTCAGGGCCCAGCCACCGGAGTAAAAGGTCAACTTCTTCCAAAGACGTAACATGCAGATCTTGAATGGTCTGCTGAAAAGTAGTTTTCCAAGGCACATAAGACTCAGGACGATCATCAAATGGACTGAAACGTGCCAGGGAAAGTTCCTTCTTCAAAAGGAAACGCGACAATTCTCCACAACAACTGTTACTCACAGGATTAGCCTTGGCATCACTGGGCTGACTACGAAGAGGTTGTATGACAGGCATAGCTTGTTCCAAAGAAGGGTTGAGATCAAATTCTGGTACCTTGTTCTGATCTTCCACGTACTGCTTGACACGACTTAAAGAAT